TATATATATATATATATATATATATATATTCCACTAATTTGCTATGTTCATGCTTCAAGATTACCTACAATAACAAATACACAACGTATTTTTTTTTCTTTTTTTTTTCTGTTTTTTTTTTTCTCTTTCTTGATAAATACGTCTCTCTCTCTCTCTCTCTCTCTCTCTCTTTACCTCCTTCCTCACATCAATCCATACATTATATACACAGCGAATAATGCCACAAGGGCAGATACCACAAACACTCCTGTTTTCATTTTCATCTTCTGATGTTGCTGCTGTGCCATTTGACGTTTATTCTTCGCCGCCAATGTATTCTGCTCCAATTCCCTGAGATCTGTCTTTGTGGATCCACTTACCGCAGCTCCAGCAGCAGCGGCTGAAGGAGAAGGAGAAGAGCCGCCGGTTAAATAAGTGGAGTCCGGCATTGTGTTGGCGGGAGAAAGCGATCCACCCGCACTGCCTCTGCTGTCTCTATACTCCTCCGCCTCTCTTCTCCGCTCGCCGGTGGTGGATCGCGTCGTTCCGCCTCTTTTCTCCGCGGCGTCTGGGGAGAGTTGGAGAATACAGCGGAGTAGTTTTTTATGCACCAGCCGTCGGTCCTCTTCTTTGCGGGATTTAATAATCGTCGGCACATTTGTGCAGCGGGGGCCAATCACATCATTTGGTCGCATCACACAATACTCCAAACGGAAATCATCATGTTTGACATCCGCGTCGCCTTCATTCACGGCGGCGGGATTCAACACAATTGTGGCGGTAATGCTGGCGTTTGGTTTAATAACGCCCTTCGTCGGCTTCACGAGATATCGCTCTGGACAAGTTGTGAGAAGTCGAAACAACACCGTTTCAAAGGAGACGTTACTGACTTGCAGCACACATTCCTCTTTGGTGTGGGAGACGATGCGGAATTTCTCTGGCGTTACAATGACGGCCGCGGTGGATGTTGGGTCGCTGACACCATTGACACTTTCCGTTTCTTTATCTCTTGATGAATCCGCTGCGAGCATTTGTTTTTTTTTGTTTGTTTGTTTGTTTGTTCAGGGGAATTATATCAATATGTATGGATAAATAATATAAAAATAAAGTAGGTAAAATAAAATAAAATAAATAAATAATTTATATATTTATATATTTATATGTAACTATAAATATATCTATAAATGTGCGTGTGTTTGGATTTCTTGGGTTGCGGCTCTTCTTCTTCTTCTTGTTCTTCTTATTGTTGTTTTCGTCTTTTCCTCAAAAGTTTTTCTCAAGGAATACTACGCTGGTGCTACACAAAAAGTAGAAAAGAGAGAGAAAAAAAAAATCTCTAATAGGAATATAGTGAGAGAAAAAGAAGAAAAAAATAAATAAATAAAAATATTCTGGACGTAGAAGAAAGATAAAGATGAAAAAAAAATAATACAAATAGAATTATATATATATATATATATATATATATATATATATAGATATAGATAAATTGTATGGTTTCTTGTCTTTATTCTTCAAACCACAATACGGGACCAAGGCCTGTCCCTACAAAACTTCCAACTATTTCCATTGGTGATTGTGCCGCAAAGGAAACATCCACTCCACCATTTTTATTCTTATTCATCCTATTATTGCCACCACTGCCATTGAGACCCTTCGCACCAATATTATTGTAAAGATCAACCGGCTCACGTACCGTAACGCGTTCCACCTTAACAATCACTTCATCCCCATTCTCATAATAGTTAAAGGCTGGTCCACCTGTGGTCTCTGCTGTTGTTGTCTCTTCTTCCTCTTCTTCATCCCCCTCCACTTGCAGAGCCCAGCGGTTCTTTTCTTCATGAAAGAAGGAAGGAGATACCAATAGTTCCCCAGGAACAAAGAAAATAAATTGAAAAAAGTCCAAGGAAAGAAAAATACCATTACGATTCTGTGCGCTAATAACTGCCCGCAGCCGTGCCCCTGGAGTTGGGGCGAATATACATAAACGGAATTGAGCAGAGAGCCATGCAGACGCGGCGGATCCACGTACAACACCAGATGTGTACTGCATGATCTCACTAATAGCTACACAAAGTCCATAGGCAGGAACAATTTTCCCTACATATCGCTCTGTTAGTCTATGCATAAGAATATCATGAAAAGTTTGCTTGTATGGCTCTTTAGAAAGATGACCTTCTATCTCAATATCATTCTCATTCTCATTACCATTATGATGATGACTATTATTATTATTATTATTATTATTATTATTATTATTATTATTATTATTTTCAGCTGCTGTTGTTAGAGAGGATGAAGTGACTGTTTTCCCCTTCTGTTGTTGTTGTTGATGCATCTTCTCTTCATTGATACTTACCGGCTCTGGAAAATACACCGGCTCCACCTCCAATATATCACGTGCAATGTAGCTGTAAAATAAAGACATTCCACCTATTTTCTTTTTTTTTTATTATTTTATTATTATTATTATTATTATTATTATTATTATTATTATTTTTTTTTTTATGGGACCTTCTCAGCACCTCAGCCCTCCTAATAACCGATTATTGTTACTCGATCTTTTTTCTTTTTCTTTTTTTAAATTAATTAATTAATTAATTTGTTGTTCTTCGCTGTTGCAATCAGATGAATGAGCAAAGAGGTCGTGGATTGTGGACACGGAACGAATCTTCCGTTCTCTTTCTCTTCTCTTCTCTTTCTATTGGGGGAGAATCAAGCAACAGTGTACTGAAATGCAGCTATCGCAGCTAATACCAAGAAAAATAAGAAATAAAAAAAAAAAAAGCAAAGAGTATATATTACGAGAGAATCAGATGATATAAATGGATGAAAGGTCTCATATATGAAGAAAAACGAAAAAAAAACAAACAAACGAAAAAACAGAGAAAAAAAGAACAGAAGCAAGCAGAATCGCTTTTCTAATTCCAAGGATACGCACCAAGTGCGAAGAGATCACTAGCGAGCAGAAGATATCAGTGTTTTTCTTTTTTTTTTCTTCATTTTTCCTTTTCCCCTCATTTTCGAGAGAAGACAAGTATGCGCAATTCTGCGAGTCCAACAAATAGCAATAAGAAAAAAAAAAAAAGAAACACTCACATACACATATACACCTGTTTTGACCTCAGGTTTGATTGTATATATATTTTTTTTCTCTTTCTCTCCCTATTTTCGTGTTTCAATTTATTTCCTTATTGCTTTCCGCTCTTGTCTCTTTTCCTCTGCTCTCTTTCCTTCTCCTGCACATAAGCCAATTTCCTCTTCCTCCTTTTCTTTTTTTTTTTTT